GGGAGAGGTCCCAGGGGGCTGCCCCGGGGCTGGGAAGGCTGAGGGGCGTGCCGGAAGGGGCGTAGCGGGTGTGGGCCGGGGTGGGGCTGTCCCTGGGCAGACCGTGGGAAGGGGGAACGCTTGGATAGACTGTGGGAAGGCAAAATCCGTTGGCGGGTGGTGCAAAGAGGGATCTCTTGGACAGCCCACACAAAGGAGAAAACCCTTGGATGAGTGCTCCAAGGGGGGACCCCTCGAAGTGATAGCGCAATGGAAGATCATTTGGACAGGGGAGCCCCTTAGCCAGCCCTTAGACAAGGGGGAAATCCTTGGAAGGGTGAGGCAAGGGGGGAACCCGTGGTGAGACAGTGCAAAGGATAAAGACCTGAAGAGGTAGTTCCCAGGGGGACTCCTTGGACAGGTAGTGCAGTGGGGGAACCCTTGGGCAGTGGTGCGAAAGGGGAACCCTTGGGCAGCTGGTTCAAAGGTGGAATTCTGGGATAGGTCATGCAATGGGGAAACTCTTGGACAGGCTGCACAAATGGGAAGCCCTTGGACGGGTGGTCAAAAGGAAGACCCCTTGGATGGGTAGTGCAGCAGGGAAGCCTTTGGACAGGTGGTGCAAAGGGGAAACCCTTGGAGAGGCAGCACAAAGGAGGAATCTTTGGAGAGGAGGGTGTTCCTAGACAGAAGGGGTGCTGGAAGCAGGGGGAGGATCGCACCTGTGTATGTTCATCTCCCGGGGTGGGCGCCGCGCTTTGTCGTAGGCCACCTTGGCGAAGACGCCAGCGATGAGCACGAAGGCGATGGCCCCGCATGAGATGTAGACAGTGGCGTTGGTGCTGTCCTTATCTGGGTCGTACTTGTTGGCGTCCCCGTCTGCGCCGTTGCTGCCGTCAGCGGGCAGCGCACCGCTGGCGGTGGTGGGGTGGGCCCACTCGGGGCTCTTGTAGTTGCGGCACAGGCTCTGGTTGAGCTTCTCAGCGCGCTTGTTGCAGCAGAAGCGGTAGAAGCAGGTGCCGCAGCAGTAGCGGAAGCCCGTAAGGCTGTTGTTGCACTCGAACTCCTTGTCCCACTGCCCGCTCACGTCGTAGTACCCCCAGCACGTCTCGTGCGCCGGGGCCGAGCCCCCACCGCC